GGGGCCCAATACTGGACGTTGTTCTCGATTTTGATTTGGCATAGGAGAAGAAATACTTTGGGTTTCTTTCAATTTCATTTATGGCTTTTAGTTCTTCCCGCGATTCCTGACTCCTAAAGGATTCTTTTAGCTTAAGTTCGATGCTTGCTATTTCTCTGACCAGTGTCTCCCTACGCATTTCAGATATATTGACCTCTTTTAGCCGCTCTGTTATTCTTTTCCGTCGCCTGTAAAGGGAGCGCCTGTCTCTTTCTATTTTACATCTACTCCTCCTTTTTCTTAGAGGAATAAGCCTTGTGCATACATCGAGTGCCACCGAGTTAATCTGTTCTAGGGGTCTGTGTTGCTTAGTATATCTTCCCAGCTTTATATCGGTTAGGACTTGGTTTACTTGGTCCCACTGTATGATAATCTATGTAATTGTATTTGTGTATACCTGAATAAACTTACAATTCCACTACGTGATAAAAGTCTCATTATAACCATCTCTGAATCCTGGTTGGATGATACGGTGACTGATGACGAGGTCAAAATAGACGGTTACAATATAAAACGCTTTGATAGGAACAGAAAGGGTGGTGGAGTATGTGCCTACATTAGAAATGACTTAGCTTACAACCCAAGACCTGATTTAAATAACAATAAACTGGAGATTCTATGGTTTGAAGTGCTGCTTCCCAAGACCAAACCCATCTTAGTAGGAACTAGTTACCGCCCTCCTACCCAGGACCAGTTATCTGAAGACTTTTCCAGAGTCTTGTTCGGACTTGAAAACAATTGCGAGACAATAATACTGGGCGACTTCAATATCTGTTTTCAGCAGCAAAATAACGGGCTATGCAAAAGGTATAAGCAAATTCTAGGTTTAAATAGTTACACTCAACTAATTAATACACCAACCCGGATCTTACAGTTCTCAGCCACCCTAATTGACCACATACTTTGTAACCGCGCTGAGAACATTAGTCAGTCAGGCGTCATTACCACAGGCCTTAGTGATCATTTCATCATTTACTGCACCAGGAAAATCACTAGGGATAGGATAGGCCTACACAGGACAATAAAAATGAGGTCAACTAGAAACTACAGTAAAGAAACACTGGTAAATAGGCTACACAATAGTGACTGGACAGAGATAACAAGTTGCACGGACGTAAACGATGCCTGGGAAAAATTCAAAACAATGTTCACTACCATCCTTGATAATATTGTACCAGTTAAAGAGGTTAGGATTAAACGAAGAACTGAACCCTGGATGACTACTGAGATATTAGATAATATGAAATTCAGAGACCAGCTGCTAAAAAGATTTAAAGCAAACAGACAGGATATTGCAGCACTAAACGAATTCCAAAGGTGAGGAACAGAGTACAGAGACTTATAAAAGGAGCAAAAGCAAAGCACTATTGCTCAAAAATTGAAGAGTATAAGCATAACCCCAGAAAGCTCTGGCAACAACTAAAACAGTTGGGGTATAGCCATAAGCCAGTAGATGGTCTAACATAGTACTCACTATCGATAATGAGGTATGCCACGAAACATCTAAGGTGGCAAATTGCTTTAATTCCTACTACACATCTGTTGCATCAACACTAGTAAGTAAACTACCAGCTGCATCAAATACCTTTAACACAGACCCTGATAAGTTTCAAACATACTATACCAATAAAGGGATAACCCCAAACAGTTGTCAACTAGTAAGTGTATCTCATGACTTTATTCAAAAAGAACTAAGCAGGTTAAACCCAACTAAGAGCACAGGCCCTGATAACATCCCGTCTAAGTTCCTAAAAAGATGGTGCTTCTGAACTGTCAATCCCTATTGCTCACATAATAAATCTATCAATCACCACTAATACCGTACCGGAGGAGTTCAAGGAGGCCAGAGTTACTCCTATCTTCAAGAAAAATAGTAGGTCTGATGTCCGTAACTATAGGCCTGTTAGTATACTCCGTATAATATCCAAAATTCTAGAGAGGGCGGTGTACTCTCAAGTAGTTAAGTACCTTAATGACAACAACATTCTCCATAGCTATCAATCGGGCTTTAGAAGATCTTACTCAACCGACACCTCCCTAATTAATCTGATGGATTACCTGAGAACTGAAATGTCAAAGGGGAACCTCATAGGTATGGTAACCTTAGACCTGCAAAAGGCCTTCGATACTGTCAACCACAATATATTATGTACAAAACTTCAAGCTATCGGTATAGGTTCTGTAGACTGGTTTAAGTCCTACCTTAGCAACAGGAGACAAATTGTCAAAATCAACAAAACGGAATCAGAACCCCTGCCGATAACATGTGGAGTTCCCCAAGGTAGTATTCTGGGTCCCATATTATTCTTATGTTATGTCAATGACATGCCTATCAGTGTCAAGTGCAAACTCTTACTGTATGCAGATGACAGTGCCCTGTTAGTGTCAGGTAAAGACCCACAAGATATAACTAATGTTTTAACACTGGAACTGGAGTCCTGCAGCAAATGGTTAGTAGACAACAAACTATCATTACACCTCGGAAAAACTGAAACCATTCTCTTTGGCACGAAACATAAACTGAGAAGGGTAAATAATTTTAATGTCCAGTGTAATGGGGAACCCATCAGTTTGGTTTCATCAGTAAAATATCTGGGAATCCCCTTTGACCCATGCATGTCAGGAGAATTGATAGGGAACAGTGTAGTAAAGAAAGCGAATGTCAGACTGAAGTTCCTGTATAGACAAGCACAGTGTCTACTTACTGAGGCTCGCAGGACCCTATGTCTAGCCCTTGTACAATGCCATATGGATTACGCTTGCTCTTCATGGTACTCTGCCTTGACAAAAAAACTGAAAGATAGACTGCAAATCACCCAGAAGAAAATCGTAAGATTCATCCTGGGGCTGGGACCAAGAGAACGTGTAGGCCAGGATGAATTACAGCAGTTGGATATGCTGAATGTTGAAGACAGAGTAAAACAACTGAAGCTAAATCATGTTTATAAAATTGCTCACAAACAGTGTCCAGAATATCTTGCTGTCAATTTTGTCAAGGTTGGAAACCAAAGCAATCATAGTACTAGGGGGAGAGAGCACAACTTTGTAGTACCCACAGTCAGTGGCCAGGCTTCAAACACATTCAATTGTACAGCAATAAAGGAATGGAACAGACTACCCACACATGTCAAAGCCTTTCATAGGATGAACCAGTTCAAGAAGAGTGCCAAAAGGTGTCTGATGAATGTAGCTACAGAAAGGGAGGGGAATGATTTTCTATTTTTTAGCTAACATACGTGTAAATTTTACCTTATTCCTAGTAATGACCCTCGTATTGTAGATAGTCTTAATGATCCTCGTGTAGTAGATAGTCTTTTTAGTATGATAATAAGATGTTATCTTCATTATAGAATAATAAGAAAATATTATAACTTCTATATTATAATAATAAGGTAAAAGGACCCCAATGGAAATAAGTCACTCTGTCTGACTTTTTTGGGTTATCCCAGGTTCTCTACACATATACTGCTATGTATGATAATTCTATGTAACTGTATTTGTGTATACCTGAATAAACTTACTTACTTACAAGTACATGTACAAGGTACACAGGCCTAGCTGACATCAGTGACATATTATATAGAAAGCCGCTTGCTATTCAGAGCATTTAGGGCAAATTAGGTCAGTTTTGTCCCTGGATGCGACCCACACCAATCGACTAACATCTAAGTACCCATTTTATTGATGGGTGTAAGGAAACACGTCCGATGTTTCCACCCCTTCGATGGGAATCGAACCCGGACTCTCACCGTGTGAAGCGAGAGCTTTTGCCACCAGGCCACTGGGCTACTGCCACATATGCTGCTGTGTATGATAATCTATGTAATAGTATTTGTGTATACCTGAATAAACTTTCAATTCCACTACGTGATAAAAGCCCCATTACTTACATAAATACCTTTAAGTAGAAGAGGTTTTCTTTGATTTTAAATAACAGAAAACGTTAAGCTGAGGGTAAACTATTGTTGCAGAAAAATAAATGCAGAAGGAAAGAAAAAGAAATTAAGAAAATAAAGAATGAATAAGAAAAAGAAGATTGAAGAAGACATAGAAAAAAGAAAAAGGAAGAATGAAAAAATAATAAAGAAGGAAAGGGAAGAAAAAGATGATGATGATGATGATACTACAACTACTACTACTAATAATAAAATTATTTCCATTGGAATCCTTTGATCCTCTTTCCCAGGATGCGATCCTCGACACTCATCTAGCACACAGGAGCTGTGACTCGACCCCTGCAACCAAATATAGGTGAGTACAGGTACCCAGTACTTACTGCTAGGTGACCAATAAGAAACTCTGCCAAACGTTTCCACCCTCCCCTAAACCAAACCCGGGTCCTTCGGCTCTAAGCCGAAAGCCACTGATATTTGCCAATAATTAGCAAAAAAAAAAAAAAAAATATTATTTCAGGTCTGATCCAGGGAAGGGAACTGTAGGTCAAAGTCCTTGGATCAAGAGCCCTTTATAAATTTTAAAGGTCCCCAGTGAAGGGGCAACAATACAACAGGTTGACATATTACTTAAGTAGCTGTTTAGCTGAAGGTATATCTGTATAGTTAGGTGTATATTTATACACATATACATGCATATACATTCTATTTATTCATTGATAGATTGCTTCAAACCATATTTTAGTGATTAAATAGTTCATAATGTTAGAGTTAAGCCAAATTCAACCATTATGGTGTAGTTGATAGGCATGAAACCTAACAATTGAACAACAGCAATTTGAGTGTCACCTAGAGACACCAGTTTTATGTTAGTGTGAGGCCTCTCAGTGTGTTGAAACCTTGCTTGAGTGGAGGAATAGTTGAGGGAGTGTTGTTAGTGGTAGCGTAAGTCTTGTCCTGTGTGTGTGGACACGGGGCCACTCGAGTCACCTTCTTGAGGTACTGTAATGTGGTGGGTTAGCCATGGCTTTTTACCCTGATAAAATTAATTTATAATTCGGTTTATTAAGGTGAAGCAAATGATGATGATTAGAAATTAAATGTGAGGTTAAATTCAGATCAGCTGGACTGTGGTTAGTAAGTTGGACTACGTGCGGCCAGCAGTAAGAGCAGTAAGAGCCTGGTTGATCCCCGGAATACCCTCCAGGTAGAACCATTTAGTACTGTCACTCGACTTGGTCAAACTGGCAAGGGTTAAGAATATTTAGTGGTACATAATTATTGTTTCCCTTAAAAGTTGTCTATAACAAATTAGAATGTTAATTTCGGCTGGGTTTCCACTCTTAACTGGATAATTCGTGCAAAGTTTTACATTTTAGTTTGGGCTCAGAGATTGACGAGTTGCGATGATGAGTGATGTTGCCTAGGCAGCTCTTATGTACGAGCCTGGTTGATCAGGCTCTGATCCACCAGGAGGCCTGGTCACAGACCGGGCCGCGGGGGCGTTGACCCCCGGAACTCTCTCCAGGAATGGTGGAATTATTCATTAACCGACTTGTTTTTAAGTAATATTTATTAGTTTGAGTTGTCGGGGAGAGGTAGAGGGAACTTTGGTAACTTGAAGTAATTACATGAAGAGTAGTGGAGGAGTCTGGTATTTTGCTATGGTTGAGGAGTCTAGAATGTATAGAGGTTAGTTTGGTCTGGTGGGTGAAGCTTCTTTGGTCTTGGGGAAAGAAATTTTCCCATGAATATAATATAGGCTTATACTAATCTCCCATCTCGGTAAAGATAACTTGTCAAATCTTTCGGCTCGGCCAAAGGCTGGCTGTCGCCTCCTGGCTCTGTTAATTCTTGTGTATTTAAAACTACTCTTGCCCTAATGTATTGAAACTTTTATGAAAGCCTATGAAACATATCCTTTGTTTCTAACTTATGGTCTCTCCCTTACAAAATCAACACGAGTGAGTTAGGGATTAAAAAGGTGACAATCCCTTCCAATTTAAATCCAGATTTTTCTCTGGATTAACTCTTGGAAGCCGTAGTAAAATAGTGAGAAATAGAAGACCGGTATAAATAGCAACTATTTATTTTATAACGGAGTGAAGTTCGGTAAAGATTTTTGGAAGGACATATATGGACAGCACTTGACTAGTTGAATAAACTTCATACCAAGCATAATACGTGCAAATTTTGGGAGTCTTTGTATTAGGTTAAAGGTAGTGTGGTTGGGTGCAAGTCTGGCCAGTCTAGCAGTTTCATGAATGGACGTAAAGTATAATCAGCACAGTTTGTAGTATCTTAAACCAGTTAGGACAAAGTATTGTACTGCTCGGTTGCACAGGAAGTCCCACATTCCTCGCCAAGCTGCTGGCCCAAGTGCTAGCCAGGCTGTCACACTCGTGGTTGAGGTGCGCCGCAGAATTAACACTGTTGGCATAGAATTACTGAGGTACAATTAATCAAGATTCGGCGTTGACGTTGTTGCCTCTGATTATTCGAGAGAGACTTGGGATTGAGGATTGCGACCTTTACGGTGTAGCCTTGAATGGAAACTACCGAATGTTCGTGAAACTGCTGTCATCACAGGTGTATGAGGATCTACTTGATCATTATCAGGATATTGCTATCGAGGCTAATGAGGACATCCTGGTAAAGATGGTCGATGTTTAGTCAATTTACGTATGTTAAGTTACGTAATGTGCCTTTCGAGGCGAATGAAGCTGACCTACGTAGTGTTTGGAAAGTTTGGAACTGTACACGTAGCTCAACAAGACAAGTAGATGGCAGGGGCTTATGAGGGTTATCCGGAAGGCAGTTTTAGCCTAAAGATGATTGAGGCAACCAATACCGTCGTATGTGTTCTTAGAAGAATTCAGGACACACACTTGTAACTTACGCTGGACAACGTAGAACTTGTAGACTGTGTGATGGATATGATCACATAGCGGCTGAATGTGTGAGGCGGAGGACGGACCAGGGAATACCAAGGAGTGACATTTCGTGGCGAGGATCTACGGTGACTGATCAGAACCGTCAGGATGGACGTAGGCGTGGTCGGTTGTGGAGTGAGGAAGTGGAGGAAAGCCAACGTGAGGTGGAGCATGAGGGTGCTGTGAAGCAATTGAGTGTGGCTGCAGAGGATGTGATGCACGAGGCGGACAAGGACGTAACGAATGATGTAGAAATTGACGTAGTGCTTGAGACAGTTTTGCAGGAGATGTTCCCAACATCGGAGGAAACCTTGACAGAGGTAAAGATGGGAGAACAGGTACCGGGACAAGGGGAAGCATGTGGGTCTGGAGGAAGGAATGAAATGTCGGTTTTGCCAAGTAGTGAGAAGGGGAATGAGGTGATAGAGGTGGAGGTGCACAATGAGGAAGGTCAGGAGACAAGCATGGTGTTAGAGGAAGTGTCGAGGAAGCGGGCAGCAGTCACGTCTGACTCGGATGACGTCCTCACTCCTGCACAAAGACCAGGGAAAAAGGCGGGGATTGAAGGTGTGTAGAGGCAAACAGAAAAAGAAACGCCAGCAAGGGGTTAGGAGTGGAGGGGGTGGGACGGTGTGTATGGGGCTACAGGACAGTGGAAAAATGAGGTGGAGAAACGTGGGTGGAAAACGTAAGCAGGCCTAAGGTGTATGACAATGTTAATGGTTTATGTAATAGTGGTAAGTGTGTATGGTTGAGAGGACTGCTGTATCGTTACAAGGTAGATGTTGCCTTTATACAAGTGCATAACTTGAAAGTGGGAAAATTGCTAGAGGTGAATGGATATAGGGCTTTTGTAATGCCAACGACACGTTTAGAAGGCGGAGTAGGTGTTCTAATTCGTGAGGCAAGTCAGTTTGTTTTGCAACGGTTTGAGGGGGGGGGGTGAGGGAAGAATGAGATTGGACGGGTGGTGGATGCTTGAACGTGTCTTTTGTTGGAGTGTATGCTTCGGCGGAGAACTATGCGAGGGTAAAATTGGCATTTGTAAGGGATGATCTGGTGTATTTCTTGAGTGCTACCCAGGGTTGCATTGATTGGGGGAGATTGGAATTGTATAATAAGGAGATTTGATGTGACGCCAGCGGGGGCGGGATATTTCTCAAACGTGTCGAGAGATTTTTGTAGAGATATTGGGGTACGAGATGCATTTTGGGGTGGAATAGGTGAAGTGCAACATACGTATGTAAGGAGGGAATACGCAGCTAGAATGGATAGGATTTATATAACGCAAGGGGTTTCAGCAGTCATTTAACACCATAGAAGCAATTTATTCAGATCACAGGGCAGTGGTGGTGGGGGTGGCATGGGATTCGTTAGTGAAACGGTTTGAAAGCTACTGGAAGTTAAACACGTGACTCCTTGAGGATGAGGAAGTGGAGGGGGGATTTGCTTCGTTGTGGAGGAAGCTGAGGAGGCAAAAAGGGGTTGATAATGTGGTACGTTGGTGGGACAGTGTGGCCAAGGAGAGGATTCGTAGGTTTTACGTGGGTGAGGGGAAGCGTATAAATCAACTAAAGTATGGATTAACAAATTATTCAGAAAGTAGAATAGGATACTATCATGAGCAAGGAGTGGTGGGAGGGGTATTCCGAACAGAGGCAATGGATGATCTGAAGAGAAGGTTAAGAGAGGTGCAGAAGGAGAGATTTCATGCAGTGCGGGTGCAGGCGGGAGTGGAGGAAGTGCTTTGGGGGGGACAAACCATCGGCATGTGTGTTGCGGAGACAACAGCAGAGGACAGCGACCACTATAGCGGATTTGGAAGTGCACTCTGAGATGAAAGGTTTTAGGGAGGGTCGGGTGTTAAAAACAATGGAGGGGATGAGTATGTTCGCGGGAGAGTGGTATGGGCAATATTGGAAAAGTAAAGGGGTAAATAAGGAGGATCTTGATGGGGTGTGTGCTGTAGAGCCCGTAGCTCTGGGGAGAAAGGACAGGGAAGCTTTGGGTGGTGATATTGAAGAGGGGGAGATATGGAGAGGACTTGTAGACATGTGCAAAGGCAAAGCACCAGGTATTGATGGACTACAAAGTGAATTTTACTTAAAAAATTGGGATCTGTTAAGGGGTATTTTAGTAACGCTGTTCAATAGAATGAAAAAGGGGAGAGAATTGGGCGAGACGCAAAGTACAGGGGTCGTTGTGCTTGTGCCTAAGGGTAATGTGCAGAGTACACTTAAGGATTACAGGGTGATTACTCTCATGTGTGCGGACTATAAATTGTTCACGAAGGTTTTGGGGAATAGGTTAAAATGTGTAGTGGGAAGAGTAGTTTCAAAAGGTCAACTAGGGTTGCCAGGACGGTCAATGGTAATGGGGCATGGAATCCTAAAGGGGTTTGTTGAGAGTTTTGAGGGAACGCAGGAAGGAGGGGGTATGGTGGCGATTGATTGGCAGGGTGCTTATGATCAGGTGGAAAGGAGGGTTTGACAGATCCTTAGCAAACAAGGTTTTGGGGATGAGATTGTGGGATGGGTTGAAACGTTGTATAAGGGGGCAAAAGCGAGAATTCAGATCAATGGACGTGTGGGAGGTGTGGTGAACATGGATAGGGGCTTGAGGCAGGGTTGCCCACTATTAGTTATTTGCATGTGTGCAAGATCAATTTTATAGGTTGGTAGAGACCAGTGTGTGTGGGGGGGGGAGGGGTAGAGAGAGGGCTTGATTAGGCATCATGTGGTAGGTTACGTGGATGACACAACACTCCTAGTCTGGAAGGGAGCAAGATTGAGAGAGCTGGGAGGGGTGGTTTGCATGTTTGGAGGGGCGACAGGTATAATGGTAAACGTTGAGAAAACACAAGATCATGGGGCTGGGGGCATGGAGAGACAGAGTTGATTGGGACTGTGACGTGGTGAGAAGGCAGGAAGGGCAGTTATTAATATGTGGCATTTTGTATGGGGCGACCATATGGGAGGCTAGGGAGGCGAATTCGTTGAGAATGGTGGAACGCGTGGAACGTCGGTTGGGGATGTTACGGCCTTATCACTTGACATTATTGCAACTGGCGATTGTTATTAATGTATTGCTGTACAGTAAGGTATGGTATGTAGCAGTTTTTCCATTGCTGAGAGATATTACTCGTATCCTTAGTTTTTAGGTTCTTATGGGGCTCAGGATGTGAAGGGATGAAGAGGGTGGTGGTGACTTTGCCGGTGAGGAAGGGAGGTTTAGGTTTGTTGGACCTGGGAAGGAGGGTGAAGTGCATTTTCATCAGGTGGGAGTGGAAAAGACTAGGGGGACAGGGGAGCCATGCAAGCAAAGGTTGCATGATATTTTGAGGGGAATGTATGGAGGTGGGGAATGGAGGGAGTGAGAGATTTTGTTGAGGGCACTTTTGTGGGCGTGCGAGCCAGAGAAATTACAGGCGAGGGATTTATATCGAATATTGAGGGTAGAGGAGACTTTCCCAGTTGAGGGGCTGTTCCTGATGTATGCATGGGGTGCTATATGGAGTCTGTTCGGTAAACTAAAGCTAGGGCCCAGGGTGCGAGAGATAATGTTTAAATTTTTACGTGGGATTCTGCCTACTGGATCAGTCCTTAGAAATAGACGTGTCGTAGAGGAGGGTTGGTGCAGGTTATGTGGGGAGTTGGAGACAGCCTATCACGTGGTATACTTTTGCTATTATTTGGAGAGTGCGAGGGAATGGCTGGGGAAAGTGGTCAGGAGGATGGGAGGAACTGGGGTGTCAGTGTTAAGAGCCCTCTTGATATAGGGGGGGGGGAAGAATGTAGCACGGGGAGTCGCTTATATAATGGTGGATTTCGTGTACATATCGTGGGGAATGAGAGGGATGGATAATGGGGAGGCGAGGAAACTTGTTTAGCGAGGATTTTTTGTAGGACAATGAATAGGAATCGGGAAATTTATGGGAGGAGATGGGAGGGAGATTTCACTGAGGGTTACAGGTCCATCACTGTTGGGGAGTTGCTAGAGTTGTGAGGGGGGGGGGGAAGTGGGTTTAGATTGTTGCGTAAAGCGTTCGATAAAAGGGGGGTACCAAACGGGCTTGCCAAACAAAAGATGTTGGTGGGAGGTGGTTTGGCGTGCATGTGTGTGGGTGAGTGATAGGTGCAAGTGAGAAGGATTGTGTGTAATTGGGATGTGCATGGGAGTGCTGAGTTCATGTGTTCGTGTTAATTAATATTTGTCAATTAATGCCTTCTGAAGAAGGCCTTTGTAGTAGCGTACAATAGTATGTCTGAGAACGCTGCATGGGACAGCAAAAAAGATAGGATTTGACTCCTATTGTAAACCAATTCAGGTATATCATCGTACTTAGGGTTATGTTAATATTATGGAAAGTCCAACACATCTTGTGATCCTGGCTTATGCAACAGTGTGGGGATGTCCAGAGGGGTGGGTATAGCAGGGAGGGGGTGGGTATAGCAGGGAGGGGGGTGGGTATAGCAGGGAGGGGGTGGGTATAGCAGGGAGGGGGGTGGGTATAGCAGGGAGGGGGTGGGTATAGCAAGGAGGGGGGTGGGTATAGCAGGGAGGGGGGGTGGGTATAGCAGGGAGGGGGGTGGGTATAGCAGGGAGGGGGGTGGGTATAGCAGGGAGGGGGGTGGGTATAGCAGGGAGGGGGTGGGTATAGCAGGGAGGGGGTGGTATAGCAGGGAGGGGGGTGGGTATAGCAAGGAGGGGGTGGGTATAGCAAGGAGGGGGGTGGGTATAGCAAGGAGGGGGGGGGTATAGCAAGGAGAGGGGTGGGTATAGCAGGGAGGGGGTGTGGTATAGCAGGAGGGGGGTGGTATAGCAGGGAGGGGGTGGGTATAGCAAGGAGGGGGTGGGAGGGAGTAACATGATTGAGATCGTGTTGACAGGGTTTATAATTGTATGACTGGGTATGCATTTGTATTCTTGTGGTATAATATACTTATGTTTTAGGTGTATTGGGGAATGTATGATATAGACGTTGTGTCGTTTTGGCATAGTGTGTCGGAGGGGAAATAATTATTAGGTAAGAGTTTGTAATGTGTTTAGGGAAGTGGGAAAGGCCGGTATAAGTCACTATATGGCATTATGCTCTTTTATTGGTTTTAACAGATGCACGCATCATGTATGTACTTATTAAATTGCTCTAGTTATGTTTGACCTGATGTAGTGTCAGGCCAAGTTACTGGCTAGTACCACATACACTGTACCTTTTTCTTTGTGCACCTAGCCATATAGGTACACGTTTAGTAAGTGCTGTTCAAAGGCAAAGTTCATAATATGGCCAGGGATGTGTATATTAATGTATTGTATTTCTGGTGCAGGTGATTCTTCTATAACCTATGTTCACTTATGTATCCCTAGTGTGTATCTGTTAGCTTTTGTCTGTCACATGTAATGGGTTATAGGTAAACTGTGTATGCCGGTATGCTGCAACATTGTATGTTTTATGGTTTAATTGTTTTTCACCCTTGGTTACAGGGTCCATTGTTGTAATGGTGTATTTTCAATAAAATAAAAAAAAAATAATAAAAAATGATCGTAAGTCTTGGTTTCAGTTTAAATGTTCTTGTTGATTTGTACTAGGGACAGTTTTTTTTTTAACAATTTTTTTTTTTTTTTTGTAAGTATATGTAAGTTAAGAACTGAAGAATGACTCTTGTGCAACTTCTGGGTATCATTGTTGTAGACTTTTCGCTGTCCAGTGGCTTTATCGATAAAAATTAAATTTAACTGGAAGACTGTAGAACTATATACAAAAGAGGTAATCAGTCCTTCATCCTTGGAGTTGGTGTGAAGATCACCGTAGTTGCGTAGATTCCAGAATCTACACAACTACGGTGCTCTTCACACCAACTCCAAGGATGAGGGACTGATTACCTCTTTTGTATAGTTCTACTCTTCAAATCATGTCCTAGAATCTGTACTGATAAAGCCACTGGATGGCGAAAAGTCTATATTAATAGACACCCAGATGTTGCACATGTCTGAATCTTCATCTTGTCGGTATTGTGTACCATTCTTGTACAACAATCTTTGTTGTGCTTCAGACTTTTCACGATTATGATTAACTCCAAGGCTGAGATTCATTGCCTCATCTTTTGTACATAGTTCTACTGTCTTCCAGTTACGTCCTAGACTTTGTATTAAGCCACTTGATGGCGAAACTTCTAAAATAGATACCCAGATGTTGCACATGTCTAATTCATCTTGTCAGTGTTGTATGCCATACATGTACAAGGTATAAATTCTTGCAGACGAGGATCTGCGTCAATGGTTTAATGAGTGACGGCCAGTAATAACATACCGCAGGATGACGCCCACCCATGTACCACCACCCATCCACAGCACACCCAGCCAGGTCACGGCGCCTCAGTCTTACCTGGACGAGAAAGGTACAGTAAGGATATTCACAACGCGTATTAAATTAGTGCATAATGCGACTGAGGTTTCGTCATTCGCTAGCCGCTCTTCCCGCCAGTATTCCCTTTAAACTTAGAGCAAGGACCGCGTCTAATTCGTTTACGTTGGCCCTTGACTGTGGGTGGGGGTTGTAATTTATATATATTGTCCTGTGGCTGGATATAAAGCTTAATATCTAGTAGCATTAGTGGTATACCTGGAGTTTACCTGAAGAGGGCTTCGGGGGTCAACGCCCCTGCTGCTCAGTCTGAGACCAGGCATATTAAGGGCATTGATAGATTTGCAGGTGTGTACTTGAAGTGGTAAGGATATTATGGAGAAAGGATCTGGAATTAATTGTCCAGAAGGACCTAAAAGTTCTTTAGTTATGTTTACATAAATTTTCCTTAATAAAAGAGCACTTGAAACCACTTCTATAAACAATACCTCAACATGGAGCTCAGCTCCATGGTCTGGAGCGATATAAAGCTGAGATATAAGAAGTCTCGTATCTATCTCATTTTCGATAGTATCTGACTCCCTTCTCATGGTTTCACACTAAAGTCTGCTTGTTGATGACATAGTTGACTATTCTGAAAGTTGCAGCCACAACTCTCCAGATTCTAGAAATTGGAGAGTTGTGGATGTAATACCCAGAGAATAATTGCTTAGATTCTCTAGAGTAATTTGAAGCAGTTAAACTTTCTGTGAATTAAGGCAATGTCATGCTGCCTCTCCCTGAGGCAGCGATGACAAGTTTCCCTTTACTTTCATAATAGTTTTGGCATTTGACACGCTGTTTAAGTGAACAAGCAGAAAAAAACGCGTTAGGGGAAACTATTAGCGCTGTTACCTTCAGGTTTACTGTTTTAACTGATTCAGGGGAAATAAGGTCGATGGGTTATTGGGTGATGTCCCAGCAATGACAAGACACCCACTGAATGAAAGATACAGAAGTTCCCCCATACTGGTTGGGGAAACTAGGCATGTTGCAGAATTATTGGACTAACTTGCTGACTAATGTAGTGGAAAGTCTACGGAACATAAGTTTGTTTACGAGGCTACTTTGCTGAATTACACATCAAAATTTACTTTCTTTTTGCGTGACTTTCCCTGCCAATATGGGTTGCTCTGTATGAGGATTTTCATTTTTAACCATACACTTGACAGTTTTTAATTTTGACACCTTACCTAATACCGTAATCTGCATGCGTGTCATGCATCAGTGTGAACTGGACGGACCGTAATATACTAGCTATTGGTTCAGTGTTTGTAGTTTCTTATAGACAAGCCTGGTTTATAAATTCACTGAAGGAGATATGTACTTACTTTATCAAATCTGAGTTGCTAAACTTTCTTTGCTTAAACATTTACCGTCATGGGGACTTTACTTTCTCCAATCAAGTTTATTTTTAGTTTAAACTATCTTTTCTTAAGAGGGTTAGTGTCACTTTATATTTACCACTTTAAGAGCCATTTCTTTTGAATAGTAAAATGCTTAAGTCTGGGTCAATAAGAATAGACGTGATAGATAACACTGAACAATTACTGTTTTCCTGAGAGCTGAGGGAAATGCGCCAGGGGAAGTAGATATGCGCCTTGATGCTGGTGGTCAGGATGTTAGCTAAAAGAATCGACTGTATTTAGTCAGCTCGAAACTATTACTTCCTGTTGGCGCTGTAGGACTCTTTCCCCTCTCCCCCCATCCCTCCACCAGTAACTTTACCCCTTCCTTGTGTGTATAATTCTCGTGAATCTAAGGTCACATTGTTGGTCAGCCCGGCCACAGTAATTAGACTAGTGCATTTATGCGTAAGGGTCGGTATTGACAGTGGGGATATGATCTGTACTTAAGGAATATATAGCGTAAAAAATAAGTAACTAAACTGACTCGCGAAATCGTAATAAGATTGCAAACAAACCATACCACGGGTCTGGAGTTTTGAGACTGATTGCGGGTTCTAACCCCGCCCGCGGTAAATTTTTTTTTTTGAATTAATACACTCTGTAGTCGTTGGTGAATAGTTTAAAGCAGTTGTACTACGTCATTGAGATTAGTTGTATATATACAGAAGTAAGCTTAACCTCTTTGTATATATATCTTTGTATGGTCAACTGGGCTGAAAGCCTATAGGAACGTAAGGTGGCCTGGTGGCTGAAGCTCAGTTCACCCACCGAGGGCCCGGGTTTAGATTCCCGGCGGGTGGAAACATTTCGAAGCGTTTCCTTACACCTGTTATCCTGTAACTTGTTTATCGCTAATAAATGTTCTAATACCTTGAATAATTAAAATAAGTTCGCGGTACGAGGAAGATATATACCCTTTTGTACACACCTACATTGCCTAATTGAGGCTGAAGCCTTTAGACAAGAGGATCATAGGTACGTCTGTTAATCTCTTAGCTAAAATTTCTCATAGGCAAGAAGGATTATGAAGTTTAGTGTATATAAACGACGATGTACATCTTAGTGTACGCTAAATTCTATGCCTGTCATAATCCATGAGACTTTAATATACAGTAAAAGTAAAACGTAAGTGATTTTTTTAGTAAACTACATTAATAAGCAAATAACTGTCCAGAATTCCACTTTATATTAATCAACGGAGACATTAACAATGTTTTGGAACAGTTTCGAAAAGACTCCAATGTTATTTTAGCTTGTGAAATCTCGGTGTAAGCAAATTATCTTAAAGGACAAACTACAATAATACAGGCTCTTTTCCAACTACAAATTCACGTACATTAATGATTTGTTAGCATATGAACGTTAAAAGTTCATTAGGAATATTTTTTATGAATTTTGGCCCACTTGGTTATCAAAGAATTAACTCTGAAAATGTTACTTTGACTTGGGTTGAAACTTTGTCGGACCTTAAATTTATGCAAGATTTAGCTTATAGATTTAAAATTGTGTAGTTTTCTTTAGTGTATCAGAGAACCAATATTTATGCGGGGAGACATCTGCAGTTTGCAATAAAGCTTGTTTGTTGTAGTGGGGGCGGGAGTTAGTCTTAGCTACGGACGGTGACTAGGTTCACCTCTTGTTACATGGGCTGTCATGCCTATTCTTGAAACAGCGTATTGTCTGCCTTATTTTCTCTTAAGTCACTTTTCTTTCTGACTACTTTGAAGCCAAAGCATTTAATTTCCAATGGCTAGTTTTTACATCTGTGCCTCTAGTGTAAAGTTTTAGGTACAGGTAGTTACAAAAAATTTATACATAACAGGTGTAGATTACCCAGAGTAACCCCAAAAAGTCTATCCATTGGGGTCCGTTTTTCGTTTCCACTACCGTGCAATATCTGGTTAACAGCTCATGCTTGCATAGTCAAAATCAACGCACAGCCTTGATATCATTACTCTTTGAAGCCAGTATTTCATTAACGTACATGGAGATGGAAACGAGAGAAAATATATATCGGTAGAACTGAAACCTTCAGCAAAATAGAGATTTGTTCTAGTTTTTAATCCGGGAAAGGGTTAGTCACCCAAGAGTCAGTGCCTCATCGGAGACTATTTCTATTTGGGTCCTTCAGTCTGTCTCTCAGGATTCGACCCACATCAGTCGGCTAACACCGGTACCTACGTGCTGCTAGGTGAACAGGGACAGTAGGAGTAAGGAAACATGCCCAACATTTTCACTAGTGTGGGGGACTGAAAGGCGAGAGGGTTGTTAACGAAGCCATACTAGGTTTATCCCTATGGTTTATCATGTTACTGTCAAAATGTTTATCTGTTAATGTTTACAGAGAAGCTCTCTGAGTTGAAGTGGACTGGATTGTGGGCTAGTGTGATCACATTGCTCAACTGTATGTACGGACAGCAGACCTTTGCCAAACAGCTGGCTCCTGATCCACGTCAAGACTCCTGGCTCCTCATGAAGTCTCCTCTTCCTTCCCTCATAACCTCGTTAGTTTACATAGCAGCAGTCACTTGGTGGGGACCCCTCTACATGGTTTCCAGGAAACCTGTTACCGGCCTCAGGAAAGTTATGATGGCATACAATACATTCCAAGTCGGCTTTTCTGCTTGGTTATTCTATGAGGTAAGATTAATTTTCTTAATATTTTCTAGTTTAGATTAATTGACAAATGTTAGTGATTAATCTCTCCCAGTTCCCTTTCACCAACGTAGGGTAACCTAACGTGAGGTTTATAGAATAAGGGTAGGTGATCCCGTGGTTGGGAGGAGTCACTCTAGAAACATTGCTTGTCAGACTGATACCAATATCTTTCAGCATAAATAGTGAATATTCCCCATTTTACCAGGGCTTTCTGAAACTTGTCAGTGACGCTGAACTTTTCATGGACACGACTTGTGGAATGTGGAAAAATATAGAATTTTACTAATGTTATGTTTTGCGTAATGACTGAATTGTTAGAGGGTAAAAAGTTGGTACTGTGTAAACTTGATGCGTTGTAATGCAATAGAACAGTTAGGATAACATGTCTTATACAGGTTATGGGTCCTGTTCTAACCTCCACACCTGCGTCTGACAGTTTTCCATGGTGCCTGAAGAGGATTTTTTAAACTTCCAGGATTTTAAGTACGATTTCGCTGTTATCTTTTAGAGGAAATTGTCTTCAATGTCGATGAGACATTTTTTTTAAGTTTTGGTTGTATGGAAATAGTTTAGGGTTAGTTTTACTGAACTTTTAAATGTCTAATCGTCCCTCGGCGATGGTATAGGAACTTGGACTGGACGAATTCGGCAGTTACAGTAAGACTGGACCTACCTGGTCGGGTACAACGCTAGCAGGTAAAGTAATTTATACTGCCAGGTAATGTAAACACGAGAAATGTTAAGACTGAACTACTGGAAAGAGTAGAAAACGGGTAAATATTAGTTGTAGGTCTCCATGGTATCCCTTCCCACCCCTTCCTAATAGCAGAATTTCCAGTCACGGACAGAAGGAAAACTCTCCAACAAAAGCACAAGCGGCTGAGGTCTGTGGGCCAAAACTTGGAAAAAATTCTTGACGCTTAATATAAGTGGCGCTGGTTAACACCAGTTGTCATTAGTTTTTATACTGTCAGATTAAACTGACAACGATTAGCATCGTCAAATACCCAAACAACTTCACGGGCTGGCGTCCTAGCCAGCATGTAGGATACCTGGAGTTTACCTGGAGAGAGTTTCGGGGGTCAACGCCCCCGCTGCCCGGTCTGTGACCAGGCCTCCTGGTGGATCAGCGCCTGATCAACCAGGCTATTGCTGCTGGCTGCACGCAAACCAACGTACGAGCCACAGCCCGGCTGATCAGGAACTGACTTTAGGTGCTTGTCCAGTGCCAGCTTGAAGACTGCCAGGGGTCTGTTGGTAATCCCCCTTATGTGTGCTGGGAGGCAGTTGAACAGTCTCGGGCCCCTGACACTTATTGTATGGTCTCTTAACGTGCTAGTGACACCCCTGCTTTTCATTGGGGGGATGGTGCATCGTCTGCCAAGTCTTTTGCTTTCGTAGTGAGTGATTTTCGTGTGCAAGTTTGGTACTAGTCCCTCTAGGATTTTCCAGGTGTATATAATCATGTATCTCTCCCTCCTGCGTTCCAAGGAATACAGGTTTAGAAACCTCAAGCGCTCCCAGTAATTGAGGTGTTTTATCTCCGTTATGCGCGCCGTGAAAGTTCTCTGTACATTTTCTAGGTCGGCAATTTCACCTGCCTTGAAAGGTGCTGTTAGAGTGCAGCAATATTCCAGCCTAGATAGAACAAGTGACCTGAAGAGTGTCATCATGGGCTTGGCCTCCCTAGTTTTGAAGGTTCTCATTATCCATCCTGTCATTTTTCTAGCAGATGCGATTGATACAATGTTATGGTCCTTGAAGGTGAGATCCTCCGACATAATCACTCCCAGGTCTTTGACGTTGGTGTTTCGCTCTATTTTGTGGCCAGGATAGGAGGAGTCGAAACTATTGGTGCTACCGGATTTCCATGCCCGCTGTCCGTAAACTGTGTTGAAATATATGCTCCTCTTGGCAGAGGTTTAACTTGTCAAACTTAAAAAAAAAAAAAAAAAAAAAAAAAAAATCCCCTCGCTCAGACTTAGATCTTCCTTAGTACAGCCAAAAGATACTTTCACCTGCAGTGAATGCACTCAGTACGTTTAACAGACTGTCGGCTTTCTTAATGTGAAAACTGCAGTAAGTTCGAACATATGGTCACATACGGAAGATTTCTCCCAATGCTCGCCATACTCAAGACTATAGAACATTTTAGAATAGATCATGAAATAAGATCAAATGTGTGATATAGATGTAGACTTGGAACTTTAAGGTTTACATTTTACTATGAAGTTTTTAATGTGGATTAATTTTTGTAATCTTTAACGACTTGTAGCTTCAAAATCTTTAAACTTTTTAAATCTTGCCGTTAGTATGATCCTGGTTTAAATTTGCAATATTTACAGTAGCTAAAACCTTGAATGACTCACTTTGGAGGTAATGTCCTGTTTTTTCATAATGGGTAGAATGGGGGGAATTCTTTGCTAGCTACTATTGTAATTTGTGGTAAGTCTACAAGATTGGGTTGCTGGTGACTAGACTAAACACTAAAATTTCCTTGTACAGTTTAAATTCCCTTCCCAGGTCAGACCAGCAACCGGCCTGACAATCAATACCAAATTTTCAGTTTTATACTTATGCTGTGACCCGTAATGAATGACTTATCATTCCCGAGGAACTTTTACTGTAGAAAATTTATCGCACTGAAATGTTTCCAAATTTGAAGTTTCTAAAACTCGCAAATTGGCAGCAGCCCAGTTTAAAACTACAATTAAATTAGCCATTTAGATGCATCAAATTTTAAAGTCTTTAGTGTTCAAAAATGCCTTAAAATAATAATTGTAGTTTTTGCTTCCCTCCAGAGATTTAAATTAATATTAATATTGCTCTTATAGATGTACATGTCCTTATAAAACGAGCAATAATGTTGACCCACAATTCTCGATGGTTGTTCCAGGGTGGAATGAGTGGCTGGTTTGGTAGCTATTCCTTCCTTTGTCAGAAGTGCGATTTCTCCGACAACCCACAAGCCATAAGGGTAAGTCTGCGCTCCATAAACCAAGTGTTGAACTTATTTGCAGTGTGTATTCACGATGTTCGAATATTGTGCTCTGAACACCACAAATGTACTGTCTTCAACAATGTTGAAGACAACATGTATGGTTAACATGTAGGATTTCTAAAATGGGGTCCGAAAGAAGCGTTCGACATTTTTTTTTATATATCTATCTTTATTGGAGGAAGTGGGTGCACACTTGCCCATAACTACCTGGTTTGTGGATCCTACCATTCCTATACAACTTGTTGCATGCGGCATACTGTAGGGCGCAGTTTAACTTCGGCCTTAAGCTTTTTTTTTTTTTTCTCCATTACCGGGGTGTCTTTAGGGACTAGTGACAACCAGGCATTGGTGACTCATACCTGGTATTCAAACACGTAAATTTGCTGATTTTTTTTTTTTAACCCTTTAGTACTTTCTACATTTAAGACCAGTATATAGTAGAAAGTCGAAGCAAAAATGAATTCTGAAAAGCTGCTTGGTCTTTTAGCTGACATTTTAGGAGTTTGAGGAGTGAAAAGGCCCTAAAATAACTATCCATACTGCTGTAGGAACTTAGACTAAACACCTGGAAAAGCGAATGATACAAGCAGTCCATACATTCCTGCCACTTTAGTCTCACTTTTGATCAGTGCAGGCAGTGGCTTAGTGAGACGGTGGCGGAGTTCTTGTCAGATGAAATGTATCAGAATAGGCAACAGCTGTTTGAGGATCCACATTACACAATCACATGATGCAGGTTTACTCATTTCTGCTGACCTCTGTAATATTCCATCAGCACATACCTTCCTACAGTGTTGTATGTTTATATTTAATAAGTCTGAATTCTTGTATTTAAATTTAAGACTTTGGTAGGGAAATGACACGAGTGAAGTTTACTTGTAAATTCAGTAGAAAATTCATAAGCCTTTATCGTTGGTCAAACCTTAAGTTGTTGTTGTTCTTGAACTTTTGACATGTGGATCTGGTTCTTACATATAAATTATTAAAGTTAAATGTGGATTTGGAGCATTTTCCTCGAAGCAATTTGACAAATAAGTGAATAAACTCTTGAGATTGCAAAGGAAGCTGTGCCGGAGCAAGTAGGGAAGCCTTTGTTTTGGGGAAATTGTGCACAAACGGGTTTATGTACCTCGTGTTAGATGAAATATTGACTAGTGACAATTGAAATCTTGTGTACAGACCAGGAAAAAGTTCAGGTCTGCTACTAGACTGGTCCTGGAAAACTCATGACGTGGCATGACAAAATAGAAATTAGAGCAGAGCCATATTTCCTGGTTGATGAGAAACATATTAGAGGAAGCTGGTATATTTACACAGGTACCAGAACTGGGGTAATGGACGAGTACTTTAACGAGCCGCACGTTTATGCCCTTTTGGGTAAGGTGTTGAAAAAGTAGGTTAGGGCGCGCTGCGTGCCAGGTTAGGGTGCGCTGCGTGCCAGGTTAGGGCGCGCTGCGTGCCAGGTTAGGGCGCGCTGCGTGCCAGGTTAGGGCACGCTGCGTGCCAGGTTAGGGGCGCCTGCGTGCAGGTTAGGGCGCGCTGCGTGCCAGGTTAGGGCGCGCTGCGTGCCAGGTTAGGGCGCGCTGCGTGCCAGGTTAGGGCGCGCTGCGTGCCAGGTTAGGGCGCGCTGCGTGCCAGGTTAGGGCGCGCTGCGTGCCAGGTTAGGGCGCGCTGCGTGCCAGGTTAGGGCGCGCTGCGTGCCAGGTTAGGGCGCGCTGCGTGCCAGGTTAGGGCGCGCTGCGTGCCAGGTTAGGGCGCGCTGCGTGCCAGGTTAGGGCGCGCTGCGTGCCAGGTTAGGGCGCGCTGCGTGCCAGGTTAGGCGCGCTGCGTGCCAGGTTAGGGCGCGCTGCGTGCCAGGTTAGGGCGCGCTGCGTGCCAGGTTAGGGCGCGCTGCGTGCCAGGTTAGGGCGCGCTGCGTGCCAGGTTAGGGCGCGCTGCGTGCCAGGTTAGGGCGCGCTGCGTGCCAGGTTAGGGCGCGCTGCGTGCCAGGTTAGGGCGCGCTGCGTGCCAGGTTAGGGCGCGCTGCGTGCCAGGTTAGGGCGCGCTGCGTGCCAGGTTAGGGCGCGCTGCGTGCCAGGTTAGGGCGCGCTGCGTGCCAGGTTAGGGCGCGCTGCGTGCCAGGTTAGGGCGCGCTGCGTGCCAGGTTAGGGCGCGCTGCGTGCCAGGTTAGGGCGCGCTGCGTGCCAGGTTAGGGCGCGCTGCGTGCCAGGTTAGGGCGCGCTGCGTGCCAGGTTAGGGCGCGCTGCGTGCCAGGTTAGGGCGCGCTGCGTGCCAGGTTAGGGCGCGCTGCGTGCCAGGTTAGGGCGCGCTGCGTGCCAGGGTTAGGGCGCGCTGCGTGCCAGGTTAGGGCGCGCTGCGTGCCAGGTTAGGGCGCGCTGCGTGCCAGGTTAGGGCGCGCTGCGTGCCAGGTTAGGGCGCGCTGCGTGCCAGGTTAGGGCGCGCTGCGTGCCAGGTTAGGGCGCGCTGCGTGCCAGGTTAGGGCGCGCTGCGTGCCAGGTTAGGGCGCGCTGCGTGCCAGGTTAGGGCGCGCTGCGTGCCAGGTTAGGGCGCGCTGCGTGCCAGGTTAGGCGCGCTGCGTGCCAGGTTAGGGCGCGCTGCGTGCCAGGTTAGGGCGCGCTGCGTGCCAGGTTAGGGCGCGCTGCGTGCCAGGTTAGGGCGCGCTGCGTGCCAGGTTAGGGCGCGCTGCGTGCCAGGTTAGGGCGCGCTGCGTGCCAGGTTAGGGCGCGCGCATGCGGTGCCAGGTTAGGGCGCGCTGCGTGCCAGGTTAGGGCGCGCTGCGTGCCAGGTTAGGGCGCGCTGCGTGCCAGGTTAGGGCGCGCTGCGTGCCAGGTTTAGGGCGCGCTGCGTGCCAGGTTAGGGCGCGCTGCGTGCCAGGTTAGGGCGCGCTGCGTGCCAGGTTAGGGCGCGCTGCGTGCCAGGTTAGGGCGCGCTGCGTGCCAGGTTAGGGCGCGCTGCGTGCCAGGTTAGGGCGCGCTGCGTGCCAGGTTAGGGCGCGCTGCGTGCCAGGTTAGGGCGCGCTGCGTGCCAGGTTAGGGCGCGCTGCGTGCCAGGTTAGGGCGCGCTGCGTGCCAGGTTAGGGCGCGCTGCGTGCCAGGTTAGGGCGCGCTGCGTGCCAGGTTAGGGCGCGCTGCGTGCCAGGTTAGGGCGCGCTGCGTGCCAGGTTAGGGCGCTGCGTGCCAGGTTAGGCCGCTGCGGCCAGGTTAGGCGCGCTGCGTGCCAGGTTAGGGCGCGCTGCGTGCCAGGTTAGGGCGCGCTGCGTGCCAGGTTAGGGCGCGCTGCGTGCCAGGTTAGGGCGCGCTGCGTGCCAGGTTAGGGCGCGCTGCGTGCCAGGTTAGGGCGCGCTGCGTGCCAGGTTAGGGCGCGCTGCGTGCCAGACTGAAGTTCTTCAGAGCCCATAGTTGACTGAACTAAATTTTCCTGCAGCCAAGGAGAATGGTTGGCATGTACAAATTTAGTGTAATAAGCGCAAAGGGAACCTCGTTACACCATCCTGTTTCTCCACTAAGAAAGACTAACTTCTGCTTAAATTTTTAGTCTCCTCAATAAATATTATTCTTTTTACAGATAATGCATTGCGCCTTCTGGTACCACTTCTCCAAACACATTGATTTTATAGATACGGTGAGTGAACGTTCCCCATTTTTCTTCACACAAGTGACTTCCATTCTTACCTCCGTACTGATACGTCCCATCAGAGGCGTCGTTAGAGTTGGTGTCACCCGGGGCGGCCCGCCCCTCCCTTACGACGCCTCTGCGTCCCATCGATACTCGTAGGCATCTGCGGACTGATAACTTTTACATTAGCTTAGTTAACATTTAAATTACTACAATGGAACTATAATCATCGGGGTAAGAGTACTATAGATGCACTGAAGAACTGGATAAATGTAACCCTTGACCCATATTTTATTGGCTCAGCTTAATCATGACTGTTCCTGCAGGGGCTTTCACAAGCAAGCTAGAGTCGCTCCACTTGACCTAACCTGACTGCCTTAAATTACTCGACCTGTCTGGCTTTCTCACTACTGTTGTGAATGTCGCTATCCAATATCAAGAATCCAACAGTCTGTGAAGCCATGACTCACCATGACTCTTCCCCGCTTAAATGTCCTTAGCTCTGTTTAACAAGTGGAGGGCTCTTGATCCACGGAATTGGATAAACCCTACTTAGTATCACAGTCCAGTCAGTTGTGACTCGACCATATTATCCATTTATTATTAATCCTTTCGAATGTTCGATTTTGTCCTGGCTGTTACACGTATACTGTATTTATTGCAAAGTCTAGTGTTGACAAACCATAATTTTTACTTTATACTTGTAGTTGAATTAGTTATGGATGTTTTCAGATATTCTTCGTGTTGCACAAGAAGTACCAGCATATATCGCTGCTACACATGACCCATCACGGCCTCATGCCTATCAGTACCTGGTATGGAGTCCGCTACTACCCAGGTGAGTCTGCCTGTTTAATTAAATTTTATCGCAGACTTCTCCCTCCTTTGAGGAAGATGGGATAGGGGTGACTTGATGCTGGTGAAGGGCTCATACTGGAACTATTGTCCTACTTGTACCAAGCATGATTTCTTTCGTTCTCTGGGCACTAAGATCATTGTACATTATTAATATCAAAGACCTTAAATTTTAGAATTCTTAAGTGTGTAATTAAGCCCATGTATGTTAAATATTCCATTAGATGCCACTGTGTAAATTTCTTTGCAATCTTAAAAGCAGTCTATTAATTGTATTTAAATGGCATAAATTAAAAATGTTCAAGAAAGTGGCAAGTTCTTGGGTTTTTGTTCTCGGTTATTGGAGTTAATAAGTTCTGAAGATTAGATAAATTTGTATGATATCAAAGTATTAACATTGTTTATACTTCGTAAGACTTTTCGGGTTCTCAATGACTTAGTCTCGACTTCAACTTCAAGTTGGCTCCGAGACTTGCAAAGATTTCTAAATTTACTGACTCTTGAATGGGGAACAACGTTTCTGCTTCGTTTCTATTTGTTTTCTTGTCAGGGTTTAATTTTTAATGTTGAATTCATGAGCATTTGCCCTTGCCAACGCTGGGGCACCGTAACAGTGGTACAGGGAGAATGGTTTGTGTGACTTCGGGGGTAGTGACTTCGGGGGAGAAGTACCACTACACGGGGAGCTTCCCTGACAGGGGCACAGTATCTCGTTCGGCATTAATGACGAGGATGTTACCTATTTAAATTTGCTTAAACTTCAGACTTATTTTGGTACACAATGCGGAATTTAGGGAGGGGGAACTCCGGTATTCTTTGGTGACTGATTTTGTGAATTGATCACGACAGTAGCAAGTAGTAAAATTTAATTTTTAGATGTTTAATACTCTGAAAAACCAAATGGTTCTGGTGGCTTGCAAGATAAACGGGAACCAGGTGAAAATTTTACGCAAAATAGTCTTAATCTGAAATCTCTATCTAAACTGAATAGGTGCGGAAACGGTTATGTTGCTAAATCTAGAATTTCTCTAAACAAAGATAGTGCTCTAAAAACATTTACTAAACTTCTGATAGTTTGAAATATACTAAAGTATTATAACCCACCTTAAAGGGGGGGGGGGGTCTTGAATAATCTAGAGGTAGTTACCCTCCCTTTACAGTTGCTTTTTTATTTCTATCTTCATACTGCAAGATCCTGTGGATTTGTCACTTGACAATGCATATTAAACTGATACTCTGCTTCTAGGAATTCAAAACTGCAGTTTTACTCCAACCTTAAGGATTATAAAATTTAATGATTAATATTAGTTAAATCTTATAACTGATTGATTTACTGTTCAAGGTAGCCAAGCAATTATGGTAGGAGACCATAGCAATTGCACGGGGAAACTGAAGAGCTGTCATGCAAAATGTTAATGGCTCAATCATTTTTTGTTTCAGGCGGCCACAACACGCTTTTTGGATTCTTGAACTGTTTCGTACACGTGGTGATGTACTCTTACTACCTACTGGCTGCCATGGGTCCTCACGTCCGTCCTTGCCTCTGGTGGAAGAAGTACCTCACTACCCTCCAGATGATGCAGTTTACCATAATATTTCTCCAAGCCGCTTTGGTGAGCCCCCTGTATCCTGCTTATATTCACGAGTCTTTGACTTAAACTTCATAAATGCTTTATAAATGTTTTTCATTGGTCATGTAACCACACCAGTACATCTGCAAGCGATATCCACAAAGGTAAAGGTCTTAAAGTTGAATATATTTTGCGTAATGTAGGCCATAAGTGAGTCTGACATGATGAAGTGTATTTTGGTAGATGGCATTTTCATTTGAATTGCAAAATTACTCTGAACAAAGGGGATATGATGTTGATTATATAGCCATAATATATTTGAGTAATGCAGTGAGGTTAAATTAAGAGGAAAACCCTAATTAAGCAATAATTGTGGATTACAAGAAACTGCCAAGCAGCGCAATTGAGGTGAGTATTGTAGATTGATCCAGGAAGTGGACATAGCCGAGATTGCAGCACATACTGCACTGCTAAAGTATTTACACTACGTACAAACTACTACAATCTAGTAATAACTGCTTTATTAGTGGAAAAACACTAATGTACATTAGTACCTTTTTCCACATCTTGTCTGTATGAACAGACTACTTCTCCACTGCTTTATTTGATGGCTCCTAAAGATTTTTTTTCCCAAAATTGTGTAATTTATTCAATAAGTAGTTAAGGTTTGTTTACTGTTAATGTGTCGGCATAAACGGTGAATGGTAGTCAGGACCTTTTGAAGTGACCACCAATTGTATCATTAAGTACTGTATTTTACAGATTGCTTTAGCACAGCACTTTAGCACTAACAGCAGATCTGGAGTTTCTCACACATGTGCACTGTAATGTTTTCCTTCATGGTAATATTAACATATAGGTACACACTAATATCTTTCACATTTGGTCCTTAAATTCTCACTTGGTATCACAAACACTGCTCCTTTATAAGATATTGTAACCTGGTACTGTGGGAAGGTCCAGATAATTTAAAAGAATTTACTTTGTATTGAAGTAAACATCTGACACTGTTGCCTGTGCTTTAAGGGAAGCATGGGAAAAATAACTTAGTGGACATATGGTGATGTGTTTTGGAAATGTATTAGTGTATACTTGCAAGTAGTTTGTCCCAAATTTAAATTCCATAGTAAAAAATGTATGCATAAAATAGTCTATGGATGAAGTTTACTAATGTAAGTGTAAGTTTACTATCAAGGTAGATGACACTAAAGCAAAATTAAATAAAATATGTGGCTTTGAAAAACTAGTCTAAAAAACTGGATACATCTTGGTTTGTCATGGTCCATTCAGTAGTATAAAGATTTCTCAATTTGTGGGGTAATAGTAACACCGTGTAAATCGACGACTGTTTTTTTTTTTTTTTTTTCAGAACCTGTTTTTGGAATGTGATGTCCCTCTAGTAGTTTCAAGCTGGATAGGCTTCGTCGCATTTCTCTTCTTCATACTCTTCACAAACTTCTATGTGAAAGCCTACCTCAAACTTGGCAACAAAGAGGTAAGCTGCCCTTACGAATTCATGACGTACCTTTGTATGAGATGCCAGTGTCAGGGTGGACTTGCTTCAGCACCTTGTAAATGTAGATACTGCAGCTCTAATATAATGCTTTTGTTTTGCGTGGAAATAGTTTATAAATATATAAGATACCTAGCTTGGTTCTTTTATACAATAACCCAAGAAAAATTACACCAGCCTTGAAAATTTGAAACCCATTGAAGGCGGCGTTCTCGAGCAATAAACTAAAATTAAAAATTTTTGCCGAGACTTCTCCATCCGCAGAAGCCTCTTCTTGTTAAATGTATAAATGAAAATTATTTAAAATTTTCCATTTTTTTTCTCAAATTTTCAAATTCTTTACAATCCTGTAAGAAAAAAAATTTAAGAAACCAGTTTGATCAAATTAGAACCCACAAAACCAAAAAATACTGAATTAGATTAGACACTGGCATTGAGGGTTTAACTTTAGCTATTACACGGTGACCTCTTCAAGGGGGATGTTCCTTGATGCAGTGAAGAGGCTCTTGGTCTAAGGAATTACACCTTCTGGCCTCCTTCCTCAGGCCGAACCTAATTATCTCCTAATCCTCCCATCCTTATCCCATCCTCCCCATCTCCTTTTTTTCCCCTTTCCTCCCCTCCCAACCCTCCCTTTTCCCCATCCTATTTGAAGCCTCTGGGGTCCTCCCCTCTGGCATTACGGTTTCTAGAAGGGAGGAAGTGTTCCAGGGTTCAACCCGCTCCGTGAGATTCCTCGGGTGTGTAGTAGCTTGCCGTGGAATCTGGATTATTTGGAGGCACCCTGCTCCCTTCCCGGATTTCCGAGAAGTGGGTGGGGGGTCCTGCAGGTGTTGGGTGCACCTCCAGAGGCACCCTGTCGGTTCTGGGAGGTGTTAACCGAAGAAGGTATGCTTTGTGGTGGGTTTCCGACCGCCCTCTCTTGTCTGCCGAGGTGGCTCGGTAGATGCGAGGTTGCTATCCCAGAGCACTGGTTTACTGGCTTGAAGGGTAGGGTATGGCATGGCATGTCATGGGTTCCACGCTGTATCTGCACTGCTTGTGGACTAGAGATCCTCTCGGATGGGAGGGGTCACTTACGGCCTTTTCATGCCTTCTACTGACTGTCCCTCTGCTGTCACTTTTTTTTTTTAGATAAAAAAAAAAGTACCTTTATCATGGTCTGTTCCATGATAACCCTCTTCTTCCCAGGCCCCTTTCTGTTCCCACATCCTGTTCTGACCCAGCTTCATTATTTGAAAATTCTCCAGACTTGTCAGACCCCTGTTCCTTCTTCTGGTGACTGTCACCTACTCCAGGTACTGAGGCTCCACTTGGGTTCTGCTAGTACCTGTCTCTTGCACTCCTTTTACTATGCGTCTGGTTTCTCCGAACATGGCGAGACAGTTTTCAGTTCGCCCACCTACCTCAGGTCGAGCCGCCTGCGATCCTATGCCTAAACGTTCCAGACCATTTGCTAACGACAGTTCCTAGATGTCTGCTCGTTCCACTTAATGAGCTATGCGACACCCAATTCCTTCATGCACTGTTTACAAGTACACGGTGGACTAAATTCTTTTCCCTACAACTGACGCCTCCAACTGATTATCTTTCTGACCATAGTAATGGTAAAACTCTTATTGCTGCACACTAATAGCACCTTTCAAGGCAGGTGAAATTGCCGACCTAGAGAATGTACAGAGAACTTTCACGGCGCGCATAACGGAGATAAAACACCTCAATTACTGGGAGCGCTTGAGGTTCCTAAACCTGTATTCCCTGGAACGCAGGAGGGAGAGATACATGATTATATACACCTGGAAAATCCTAGAGGGACTAGTACCGAACTTGCACACGAAAATCACTCACTACGAAAGCAGAAGACTTGGCAGACGATGCACCATCCCCCCAATGAAAAGCAGGGGTGTCACTAGCACGTTAAGAGACCATACAATAAGTGTCAGGGGCCCGAGACTGTTCAACTGCCTCCCAGCACACATAAGGGGGATTACCAACAGACCCCTGGCAGTCTTCAAGCTGGCACTGGACAAGCACCTAAAGTCAGTTCCTGATCAGCCGGGCTGTGGCTCGTACGTTGGTTTGCGTGCAGCCAGCAGCAACAGCCTGGTTGATCAGGCTCTGATCCACCAGGAGGCCTGGTCACAGACCGGGCCGCGGGGGCGTTGACCCCCGGAACTCTCTCCAGGTAAACACATTGGCCAAAATGTATCCTTTCACACTCTTCGAAGTGGTGCATGCATAGTTAGTTCAGAATGCATAACTAGCTCATGATCTTTCCCATCTTACTTCCATTGACAACATTCCAATCACAGTTCACAAGCAAGCCACTCTAAATTCATGCAGTGGTATGGTGGTTTTACCGCATACCATTGTACAGTGATTTTCTGTTTGGCGGTGATATTTTGGAGCGATTAGCCCTTCAGGACCTTCCTATTCTCAATATGGATACACAAGTCCTGCCTGCTCTCGGGTGGAGAGACTTTCCCAGTAACATCACCTGCTGAACCTTTGACTGCTGTGAACTCCTGTCCTTCATTTATATAGTGGGCCATCGCCTAGAAGTCCGGGGAAGTGGTCCCTATCTCCCAACAAGGTTGAAATTGCAGGCACTTTGGACACCCCGCTATATATTGCAGATCTGCGGCGAAGTGCTCTGTCTGCGGTGCTGTAGATCATGCAGATACATCTTGCAGTCTTTCCCACCCCCACTTGTCTTAATTGCAATAAGCTTCGTCCTTCTTTTTCCCGCCACTGTCAGATCTATCTAAACGAACGAGAAATCGGTTGTCTTAGAGAGGGAAAGACCTTACTTCCAATCTTGGCAGTCCCCTTGCCTATTAGTTCCTCCAGTGTAGTGTCTTATGGGATCACCCCCATCTCTTAATTCTTTTGCGGTTTTGCCCCTCTGAAACCCCCACCTCCTTACTTCCTACTTCCTTTGCTTCTCGCTCACTAGTTTCTCGGTCTATAAGGCTTTGCATGCCTGCATCTTTGCACCTATCACCTGCAAAGCTGAACCTGTCTAAGCCAAAGTCTATTAGCCTCGGTACCTAGTTCTCGCCCCCCCCCCTACCTTTCTCCAACACAAGTGGAGGTTCACCCCCCCCCTTCATGTGGTCCCCTCTTCCGTTTACCAGAAGACTTCTTCCCCAGTTACCTTCCAGTCTCCTTCCTCTCCAGTTCTACCACAGGACTGTCCTCGCCAGCACATCTCTCTAGGTTTATACTCCCCTCCCCTCTCACCTCTTGTTTCTCTCCATAGTCTCCCAGATCTTTACTTGCTCTACCTCATCTGTCTCTGAAGTCATGGTACCAGCATCTTATCTGCTGAGATGCTTGATGCTATCTCCGACTACATTGCAGAGACTAAACCCTCGATGGACACCAGTGAGCCTCTTATTTTTCACGACCCTCACACCAATATTATCCTTCAGAGCATTCTGATTCCTCCTTGCTTACGTGCTTCCCGTTACCCCCACACGTTGATTTCACTGACCCTAACAGCCCATAGATTTTATCGCTTCTTATTGCTAGTATACCTGTCTGTGAATAATGACTTGTTTACAATGGAATATTCATGGCCTTGGGTAATCGGAGAGCTCCAGGTGTTGCTCTGTTTTCCCCAGTATGCGTCGTGTTACAAGAGCCCAAAATTCGTTCAGCTGTTATTCAACCAGTTTTGGGTTGTGCTGTTGCATTCTTCTGATCCCTTTCCTGATGAATCATTTAATGAGTGCATGCTTCTTGTGTGCGTTGGTATACCGTATCAACAGGCCTTTGTTCTCTTCTGCATTATACTGCGGCCAGTATTTATTTGCACAGATTGTATAGTTTGTCTATCCCCTTCCTGTGCATTCTGTATCTCGGATATTGCGTTCTTGATCTCTGCTGCCTCCTATATTAGATTTTAACTCGCGCTATCATTGGGGAGGGTTCCACTGTGACTCGTGGCAATCACTTGGAGAGACTTCTCACTCCTCATCCTCTTAATGTTTTAAATACGGGTACTCCCACCCATTTTGACTCTCGCACTCTTGCATTGATCTTTATCTTCTCATTATTTACACTTGATTACACTTGGTCTGTTCTCCCGGATTTGCATGAGTGATGACTTTCCTATTCTTTCTTCTACGTATTCCTGACCGCCTCGTAGCCCCCGTTGGCAATTTGGATGAGAGAACTGGGACTTTTACTCCCATCTTGCCGCTTTTTATGGGAACACTTAGTCCTCTACTGATGAACTGGTGGACCCGTTTTCGACCTTAGTTTTGACTGCAGTATCACGTTCTATTTCTCAAGCCTCAGGCAGGCAGGCAGGCATTCTCAGACACGCATTCCTTGGTGGTCTGTGCGCCCATGCAGTGCATTTGAAATGTGCTGTGAGGCCATTATTGATATAACTGGACCTCGGATCGTCTTTTGGATGTCAAGTGGGCAAGGGCAGTAGCTTGCCGTGTCATACACAATGGTAATGCACTTGTTGGCAAGACTGTCTACCATTACCTTGACTTAACCTGCGTGCGCAGTTTGGAAGAAGGCATGGAAGTTGTGGGGCACGTGTGCTCTGGACCCAGCTCCCATTTTCCGGGTTGCTAGTGTTAATGTTGTAGAACCTCTTGACGTTTGCCATGGAAATTGGGAACCCTCTTGTCCGTGTCTCCCAAGGGCTTCACCTGTCCCTTATTTCTCACGTCTGTCTACCAAGGGGCAATTGCCCTTGGATTTCTTCTAATGGAATGGAGCCATATACCTTTCACTTTGCTAGAGCTAAAGTCCATGCTTTCTGCTTGCCAGTTGTCAGCAGCTGGGCCTGATATTCATATCAGAATGCTACAACAGCTGCATTCTACAGCCCTTAGTCCTTTTGCATCTCAACAATGGAAATCTGAAATTGTACTACAGTTTCGCAAACTAGGCACCTCGGGGCTTGATGGTAAACTGTTATCAGCCGTAATCAGTTCCAGAAGGTCGGCCTAAAGCAGAAATAAAATTCCCCATAAGAATTAATGTAAAAAAAATTAATCCGTTCCAAACACCCAAAAATATTAACAAAAATAAATTTTTGAAGATTAATTTTTGTTTTACATACACAAAACAATGAACTAAATAAAATAAGTAAATGAGCATTTAAATCACTATTACATACCTTTATTGAAGACTTCTTGGCTTATGAAAGACTGAGGACAAGAGACAGAGGACTGATTGTTTGGAGGGAGCCCATCCCCCCCCTCCATAAGGACTTCAGGTATCAAAATGCACTCTGGGGTTACTTTCCTCCCGGCCTGCTACACTCCCTTCCGCACTGTTTCCCTGCTACAATCCCTGCCTTTTTCACAGCATGTGTAAAGAACCTAGGATAACTCAGTCAGTGACTTAATTCCATTGGGTTCCTGCCTGCCTGTTATACTCCCTGCTTCCCTGCTAAACTTCTTTTCACAACATTAGCTTCCCTGATGTTTGGATGAATGAGCAGAAGTGTCCTCACTCGCCCAGAGACGCAGCCACTCTCTCTCAAACGCGCGAGCGGCTGACGTGTCCCATACGGCAGATAAGCGAAACAATGGCCATTAACCAGAAGCCAAAAACCGGCCGATAACAGTTGGCCGATAAGTGGAACGGCCGATAACAGTCCACTGTACCTCTCGCTGTCATCCCATTGCTCTGACCAGTGTAGTCTGCAAGGTGATGGAACGATTGGCAAATAGACTTCTGATGTGGTATTTGGTGACTGCAATATTCTTTCTCCTCACCAATATGGCTTTTACAAGGGCTGCTCTACTTTGGATCCCTTGCTCTACTTTGATACGTATGTGTGAAATGCCTTTGCTAACACACTCCATCTTGGCAGTCTTTTTTTTTTTTTTTTTTTTTTTTTTTTTTATTATTATTTTGAGAAGGCATATGACACCACTTGGAGGTATTACATTTTAGCCCAAGCCCACTCCTTAGGCCTCCACGCTAATCTACCAACTTTCCTTACTGCTTTCTGACTATTTTCATGTCCGTGTTGGCACCTCGCTTTCCTCAGACTTTGTTCAGGCTGAGGGTGTTCAACAAGGTTGTCCTAAGCACTATCCTTTGTCTTATAAATGACCTACCTTGCATTCTTCCATCGCATATATGGTCGTCACTTTGTGGATGACTTTGCTATATCTTAAGCAGGCGCTGACTGTCGCCTGGTAGTGGCCTCCCTTCAGGATGCGATGAGTTTCCCATTGGGTCACTTCTCATGGATTTAAATTTTCTAGTACGAAAATCCATTTCTCTTGTCCCAGATATTCCATTGTATTTACATGGCTCACATATTCCAGAATGTGATATGGTAAAAAGTTTCTTGGCCTTCTCGTCGATCATCGGTTGACATAGATACCTCACATTTCCTCTTTGAAGGCAGTTTTCCATGGTCGGCTAAATCTCCTTGAAATTCACGTCATCGTTCATGGGGAGCAGGTCGCCCCACACTCCTCCGTTTGCATTCCACCCTAGTCTTGTTCAAGCTGGATTATGGCAACCAAGTCTATTCTGCGGCTTCTCCTACAACTCTCTTTAAAGTTAGATCCCCTGGCTGGATCCCATTTATCAGGGGTTATGTTTTTGCCTTGGTGTCTTTCGCTCATCCGATGTTGAAAGCCTCTACGCTGAGGCGAATGTTCCTTCCTTAGCTGATCGTTGTAGTGCTAATTGCCTTCGTTACTTTGTCCACTCACGACCTTCGTGTTCCGTCTGAAACGTTAGAAGTCCATTACTTGTTTGGCGCCCCTGCTGACTGTTTTCTCTTCACTCCTGTCTTCTCTCCAGTTGCCTCCCTTGTATGTTCATATACCGTCTGCCTTTTCCCATCCCCCTTGTGAGGTTCCGACGGTTCGTCTGTTCTCTCCTACTGCCGTGCGCCAAAGTTTTCCTACCTACGACTGCTTCTCGCACTTTTCTTGATCACTTCTGGTAGCATGATCATACTGTTTATACAGACTATTCTAAATCTTCTGACGGTGTTGGGTTCGCAGTGGTGTTCCCTGACTGTTGTCAGAGGTCATTTATTAGACTCGGCTAGTATTTTTACTGCAGAGTTGTATGCCATCCTCAGCGCTTCTCCGTATTACGTATGTTTCCTTCGACGTTTGTGATCATTTCAGATTCCTTCAGTGCTTTACAAGCCGTTAAACAATTAGTCCCCTTATCCATTAGTCCTTCGTATTCAACTATGGTTGCACTGTGTGGCTAGCAAAAAGTCTGTTTTCTGTTGGGTCCCAGGACACGATGTGCAGGGCAATGAACAAGTGGATGCTGCTGCGTGGTCAGCGGTGCATGATCTTCTGGTTTCCTATAGAGATATTCCGTTCAGAGATTGACATCTCTGCCCATCTTCGCAGCCGTTGGCAACAATAGTGGTTGGTCATGCAGCATAACAAATTGCACTCCATTAAACTGCTTTAAGGTTTGTGGCCATGTTACCACCATTACCGTACTTGGAAGACTGTGCTCTCCCGTCTCCTCATCGGCCATACTCTCCTTACCCATGGGCATCTCACGGATCGGCACCCTATTCCTTTGTAAGGTTTGTCGGGTCCCTGTATCGGCTCTTCACTTTCTTGTAGACTGTCAAGTTTCCAGCAAGCTTGCAAAGATTTACCTCCAACGCCGCCGCTGCCGCCCTACCACTCTTGCCCTATCTTTTCTTGACAGTTCTGCCTTTGACTTACAATCACTTTCTTTGTCAGCAACTGCTTTACTATATGAACTTAGACACGCAGCCCTTAGCGTCCCTTCCAGCCCTTTCCTTCCTTCTTTTCACCTCTGATATCCTCTCCAGCTAGCTGTTTATAGCCACTGCACTGTTTTCTGCTCCGCAGCGCTGTATGACCCTTGTCGATTTAGCGCTTTCTTTGATGATGCCTAATACTTTACCTTTCATTTGGGCTGTACCTCTTCCTCCATTTTTCTAGCCCCTGCAGTATACTACCCAAATTCTAATGAATCATTGTGACCTAAATTGGTTTGGTACTTTTTGAATATTATGATAATTTCGACCTTAGTGAGGCACACTTTATTGACATTTAAAAAAAAAATTAAAAATTTAATTATTAATATATTTGCAGATGCAAATTGAAAGTATCAGTTCGCCGGATGATATTGAGGAAAAGTCCAAATACGCTGAGAGTACAGACGGTGATATTTTAAACCTAACTAACATCGACGATGGAGTGAGTGACATCTTGTCCAGCACAGAGACTGATTTACTTCCTTCAGCACAGGAAGAAGAGATGATGATAAGAATTCGTCTGAAGGACTCTGAAGGACTCTGAAGGACGCAAAATGTCTAAATGTTCATTTTAAGTCCAGAAATATTTTCTAATTTATAGGTAAAATGAGCTCGCCTGTTTAATTTATTCTTCCCAAGATTGTGGTCTGTTGAGCTTCAAAAGTATGATCATAATAGACCATCTATATATTTATACTTTGAATCTTGTATGTAATGGTTACTTATTAAGGGAAGATGACTTTGTAAAGTATAATATTCTTAGCAGTTGTTTAAACTAAATGTATTAACTTTTATTATATCAGAGGTGGCCATGACACGACTTAGTAATTTAAAACTGAGGCATCTGAAAAAGGGGTTTTTACCTTTTGAAAGGAACATAATGGGAGGGGGAAGGAAGCAGCAATCCCTAAAATGCTGGCAAGAGGTAGTTTTATTGAATTTAACTAATGTACTGTAGTTTTGTATTTAGCCGCACCCATGTCTAGGAATTATACCCCCCCCCCCAGTACACCTTTTCATAAGTTTAAAATTGTGCGTCAGCGATATGTTGAGTCTGTGCCTGTTAATCACGACCAGGTTTAGATACTGGTTATCCTCGCTCTTGTACAGTAGTCTAAATTCACACAGCTTGCTAATTACCTATTTTTAAACTAAGTAAATTTAACTTAAGACTGTGGATTTAATAGCATTGATCAGGGCCAAATGATTTTAGTTTGCATAAATTTATTTATTGCCGAAGTGTATAATACAGAATTAAATATATAAATTACTAAGATTTTGATTTTAAAGAACCTGCTGACAAAAGTTTAGGTTAGTTTCTTTTGTATTTCATGTGAACACTACGAATACCAACGTAGTTTGTGTAATTTATCCTTCCTCTTCTAAGGGAAGTTTCACCATGTATAAACTTTTAAGAGGAAGAAGATATTCATTGATAGTGATGAATGCAAAGTAATTGGCGCCTTGAATAAATATTTTGGGCCTCATCCTATAGTCTTCCAGTAAAGTAACTCTGCTACTTAAAAAGGAAAATAAGTGTCGATCATCCCCGTTCTCCATTGGTGGTGGGGGAGGTCATCTTAATGTGATGGCCGGATTTGAGTAATTAACCAGCTTGTCAGCAAACCTTGCACCCTTCTTCATTGGGTTAGGTCCCTCTTAAATTTTTCCTGGGGGAATTATTAGGAATCATTGCCTATCTGATCACCCAGCTGGAGCGCTGAGGTGGTCCCATTTCCAAGGGGACTGAAATGTGGTAACCCATCTTGTGGCCCTCCGGGTAGAATATGCAGTGGCTGCGTGGTGAAAAATTAACGCAAGATGGCTTTGTATTCAGAAATTGAGAATTCCTCTTACGGCTTCCCGTAATTTACCTCCTTCATGGCCACCCTGCGTCTTGCTTCCCCTCTCTCCTTGGCAGGTACCCCATCTCCTGGGAAGTTCCGAAGATTAGTGTCGGGTTTTTCCCACTTCCGTGTGCGAAAGTTTGCTTACTGTTACTTGGCCTGTTATTGTTTTTTTAAGGGCACTTGTCTGTTGGATCTGTGCAATCTGTCAAAATCGTGAGGTAGTGTTGATATTTTTAAACACGTGTAATTTAAAGTATGTGCTGGTATTCTCTGTTTTAACTTCGTCACAAGGCAGTCGCTCCTAGAATCTTGCTCTTGTTACTGTACAGCGGCGTTCAAAATTTGAAACTTTCATTTATATATATAAATATATAAATTATATATAAATATATATAAATTATATATAAAAAATATAAATTATATATATGAATATATATATAAATTATATATATGAATAATATATATATTATATATATATATATATATATATATATATATATAAATTATAAATATATAAATTATATTGTATATATGGTACGATATGATACATGATGTCCTCTTCCTCCTCCAGCGATGTTAATCTTATTCCCACTGTTGCGACACTTTCATTTCTCCGTATCCTGAACTTTGTCACCCACTGTATGGAGATGGTCCAGCTTGGCCATGAAAGAGAAAGCTACACGAAAGTGAAGGGATAAAACAGAGGAATTAGCTGAAAATATTCAACTAATGATCTGTGTACAGAATCGCATAAAACCCTGAGGTAGTGTTGTATAATCCGCACATAGGAAAGAAACTATGACGAGGTTTCGGTCGGCCCGAAACGTCCCAAGTTTCTCTAAGCTGTATGACCCTTACGGGTTTAGCACTTATGATTATAATTCTCCCGTGTGCGGGTTATTAGTGTATTCGTCATGGTATTTGTGACGTAATATGTTCTTCAGTGTTTGAAAGGTTACATGAAATCCTTGTGACCATCGTGTAGTTAAGAGGATTAGAACCCGATGAAAGGTAATCTACGAAGATCACTGAAAGGCCGTGGGAGTGGAAGACAAAGGAATGGGCGTTTGCATGATAGCATTGCATCCTGCAGATGCTCCCAGACTGTGGTCTTGGACATTCACCAGGCGGTCGCGGATGTGTTGGCAGTGTGAAAACCCAAGTGAAAGTGAGAGGAATTACATCAAGAGATATACAGGGCAAGTTTTAGACGTGCCTAGAAGGGGCAAGTAAGGTCTACCTCGTTGCTCCACTTTCCGATCACCTAAAACGGGGCAATAAATTCACGTGGTTAAGAGTGGTTCCCGGAAGAGACAAGCATATGATTTCACATGGCCATGACCGTGCATGTCAGTCACAATACGTCATATCAGTTATGACGATACATGTAGGTCATAATACACGTTAGTAGTGACATGTAATGTGTCTGTAAATCCTTTACTTTCGTACCCACCACTTCTGTCCTCTGTCACCTTCGTTTATTATTGTACATCATTTAAGACGTTGAAGAGTTCTTTATAAACGTAACTGAAGTTAGTTCCCCCTTTTATTAACTTTAACTTGACTACCCCCCCCATTCCACAGGAGCTTTATGACCTACAGGTTAAGCGCTTCTTCCTGATATTGTGCCTCGTGTACTTGACCAGGACTTTTGTCCGATTTGTAGCTTCGGAAAGATTGTGTGTGAGGGGGGGAGGGGGGGTTCTAAGCTACACCTTGTGATTCTCATGTTCTCTTAAACTGTCTTGGATGATTTGTAGATTTTAAAATGAGCGTAATTTAGATAATCTTAAAGGATTGACAGTGGTGTAGTCTAAATATTCCTCTCTTAATGTTGGCTCCCCTCGAGGAAGGTGCCTTGATGCTGGTGAGGGGCTCTTGATCTAGGGAACTGGATCTGTTCTCCAATTCCTTGAATTATACCTGAATACCTTCCACATCCCCTCCCCCAGGCGCTGTATAATCCTACGGGTTTAGCGCTTCCCCTTGATTAAAATAATACTCTTATTGTTGGCTACTTGTGAGCTGTTCCAGCTCCAGTATTGACGTTTTGTATCAAGGTCTAGACTAGGTGGAGATTTCCCAGTTTTCTTAGACCAACATAGCTTTGATTTGTAGGTTTTCTCGTGGGACTGTTCATGTACGGCTATTGACCTTCTATAATATTTTTTTACTCCCAATACTTTTCATATGGTGGCGCTTTTTTTTTTAGAGAAAGTTGTAGGGGATAACTTCAAATTCAAAGTTTATTCTCTATAAGGATTACAATGCTGAGTTTACAGAAATTTGGTTATTGTTTGGTTTACATGTAGTAAAATTGTGATTAGAGTGTACCACTAGAACGCTTAGCATGGCTAGGCATTTCGGGCATACTTAGTTTTATTCTTAATTGTAAAATATTACAAATTGAGGTAAGTTGGTATTATGGCTAAGTGACTAAATACTAGTTTGTGAGTTTAGCAATGTGAATGCCTCATTTGATCGGCTTCAAATATTCAAGTCAGGTGTATTGCAATGGGAAAGCTGTATGATCCTTGTGGGTTTAGAGCTTTATGATTATAATATAATGGGAAAACCGTTCACGAAACTCTTGGAATGGGCCCTCTGGTCAATACCATTTCGACCTATCAAAAGATTCTTGGTACGAAAACTTTAATTGGCTTCAAGCATTCAACAGTAGGGAATCCTACTTAGACCAAGGCTGAGTGTTATGAAGTGTGTGCATTTGCTAATGGTACGGAATATTTTTCTAGTCAATTCATGTTAAATTTACTTGACTACAACTCTTCTGATCGGTTCCAATGTTTAGCTGCATTCTTAAAACCAATGTTTTTAAGACAAGTGCGTCTATTTTTGCCCAATGTTTGTTGTAAAGACATTGTGTAGGGGAGACATTTTCATTAATCAAGACTTTTGTCCAGGAACTATATCAATTCTCAGAACATATCGGTATATATAATGGTGAGGGATCATTAGTATAATATAGAATGCATGTTTGTAGTCGACAAATTAGGAAACGAAAGATGAATAAAGTATCAAAGTTAGGAAGAATAAGCTACGCTGAAACTGCAATGTGTGAACGGTTCAGTTCTGAGAAATATGTAGTTCTGGTAGTGGCTATTACCGCTGATTCTAAATCTGGAACAACCATTACTATCTTTGATGAGTCTTGCCTCTGGGAAATTACTAGGTGGTTCTCGGTGTTGCAGTGTAGACTGCAGGTGTCATTCCACAGACTTGCGTGTGTATTCTCCGCTCTACTATTTAGGTCCCAGCAGTGGTGGTCATCCATTTGCCTTTCTCTTTGAGTTTTTTTTATTTTTTAGGTTTCGGGGGAATATTAGTGACACGAATGTTGGCTTTCGCTAAAGTAGTGGAAAAGCTGTTGCTGTTTTGGATAACAGGAGTCGTAATATATCTTCTAGGTGTAGTGTCGGGAGGAGAGTAGTTTATCTGCTGTCTTCCAAAAGAGGATCCCAGAAGAGGGTCGAAATATATAGATCAACTATTCTCCTGTGTTTGTCTCCGTGTGAGTTATTACTGAACAGTTAAATTTTTGTTGATAATGTTTAGAATCGGCAGAATTAGCCAGTACTGAATATTATTTCCTCAAAGCACTGGATCGTTCACAATTGATGAAGTCTAAGCGAGGCTTATTCTCTCTAATCCTCAAGCATTAGCCGTTTGGACCTGCTGCGCAGACGCTCCTGTCTAGGCTGGCTTTCTGCGCAGTTTTCCCTGTTTTGAATATTCAAAATGGCGGATAGACATGGTCGCAGTGTAAATACGGTGTGTGTCGAATTGGCTCGTGGAACGCTTACACAAATATCAAGAGAAGACTGGCCGTGAACACTGCAGTGGAGGTATGCCTCCATGATGTGTCGAGTTACATGACGTGGGTAAAAGTAAGGAATGTACCATTTGAGGCAATCTAGCATGATGTGGTAGCAGTTTTCCGTAACTATGGAAAAGTCCACTCAGCTGAGTTGGGAGTGTGGAAAAATGAACCTTATGAGGGGTTGCCTGAGGGATCATTTACACTGAAAATGACCTTGCGGCAGCCAATTCCATCGTATGTGCTACTGGACGTCTTCAGGACTCAGGTCTGTGTATTACTCAGGACGGAGGAAGACGTGCAGATTGTGTGTGGGTCTTATGACCATATGGCAGCCCAATGCCATAAGAAAGCAGGAAGGAGGGATCAGATACCATTGCCTATAAGTCGGCAACAAGGTATAGAGGCGTTGGAATCTGGGGTACTCCCCAAAACGGCACCTTGTCGTTGGAGTGAGAAAGTTGAGGATGCAATGAACGAATGTGTAACGTTACCGGTTGACACAGACTGCAACAGCGAAGACGAGAAAGAGTGATGACGAGTGTGAAGGACCACAGGATCGATTGCTGGAGGAGGTTATAAACT